AGAGGACTGAGAAAAAAAATCCAATACCGTTTTACAAAAATTGCAATAATGATTGAGATATTAAGGGGATGCTAAAACTAAAAACTTTAATTTTTCTACAAAGTTTACGTTATATTAATTGCGCAAAATTGCAAATGCTTTTACGCAATGAAAATACGTGCAAAAGTAAATAAGAACATTGCTCAATATGTGACGAAAATGAAAAAATTTTTTAAACGTAAAATCTCAAGCTGTCAGCGTAATATTTGCCTAATTCAAAAATTCAGTTTGTACATACTGAAAGCGTGGATGCTCCAAGAGAAATTTTGAAAAACATGTATTTTCGCATATGAATTCAAAAGCTTAAGAATCTCTGAAAAGTTTACAGAAAAATTTCTACGTGATTAGGTTTTCTGCTGAATATGGCAAAATAAAGCAACACATATTTACAGATTTATGTACAAGTATGTACATTTAAGATTTGTATATATAAGAAATACGAAAAGGATAACGTAATTGTATTAATGACGATTGTTTTCATTGTCGATATTGTTCGAGTTCATTATCGACTTCAGCATCCCCTTAATCGTAGAAGATTTGTGAATGATCGATACAGTAGATAAACTGTAGTGGCGACGTTTGCCATCGTGTGTTTATACATTAAGTTAAATTGAGCAAACAAATCTTCTACCATAAATAACCACGTAGATTTTAACTATTAATTAAAAAAAAATTGTACATATAATTTTGTGCGATAATGTACCAATCTTTTTTAATTATTAATTAAAAATCTATATAATCACGTGCAAAATGATAGAGAACTTTTTTGTTCAGTTTAACCACACGACGTCAGACGTCGTCATTATAGCTCATCTATATCGAGCGTTATCATTTACAAATCTCCTTTAATCAATATCTCGATAATTATTGCAAATATTGCAAACTTTTGTGCTTACTTCAATTCGCTCTATACCCTCATAAGAGATTGTAAAATCGAGCTAGGACACTATATAAGCGACGACATATAATTTTGTCAAAAGAATTTTTAAGTTTTGAATTTCAATATAATGTTCTAGTTTTATTTGAATATTATGATAATTTTATAAGAGGAGTATGATTATTTTAATGATAATGATATCTTCTTCCGACATTTAAAAATATTGTATTCTCAATCCAAGATTTTCAATCCAAGTGCTTTCTAATCCATGAAAAAGTTATTTTTGAATATTAACTTATTAACGCCCAAATGTGCTGAAATTTTATGTTAATTTCAGCCATTTATTTTATTACGGAAATGAAGTTTGTTGTTTATAAAGAGTATTATTTCTACTAATTTCGATCGCTCTGTCGAATAGCGTTGAGAAATTTAAAAAAAATTGCAATTTATGCAAAATTTTTGCAAAATAAAAGGTATGTTTTTAGGGCTACTTTTCGGCTATTTTCTCCATAGAAAAGTATCGCTTAGTATCGCTCGGGAAAGTGTCTAAAACATGTTCCCGACACTTTAACTTAAAAAATATGCCATGGGTATTTTTTTAACAAACATGACGGTACCAAAATAGCGGTCAATTTGAAGCGTTTAATTCGAATTTTCGTTTATATTTGGTTATCGAAATTGTTTTAGGGTCAATATTACTACAAAATTACATAGTAATTTACATAGTAATTACATAGTAAAACAATTTCGATAACCAAATATAAACGAAAATTCGAATTAAACGCTTTAAATCGACCGCTATGTTTTGATACCACCATGTTTGTTGAAAAAAATACTCATGGCATGTTTTTTAAGTTAAAGTGTCGGGAACATGTTTTAAATATTTTCCCGAGCAATACTAACACGTTTCTATGGAGAAAATAGCAAAAAAAGAAAAAATTAGCCCTAAAAACATACGTTTTTTAATTTTATTTTGCATATTTGCGATTTTTTTTAATTTTCTTAACGCTATTCGATTGAGTGATATCGAAATTGGTAGGAATGGTACTTTTTATAAACAATTTTTATAAACTTTTTATAAACAGATCTCATTTCTGTAGTAAAACAAATGACTCAAATCAACGTAAAATTTCAGCATTTGGGCGTTAATGAGTTAAGAATATATTTTCCTATGTTGAATCAAATATATTGATGCGCGTAATTTACGTCTTCGGTTAACTCTACGCAATCATTTTTTGGGATTTACATGTCAAAAATAAAGATACTTTCAAAACAGGAATGTTTTTCTTTTTCTATGTAGTCTCTCATGACAGATCAACGCATGCCTGGCACTGACATCACGTGAAAAACAATCGCACTTGTTCGAAAAAATTTCTCATATACCTGTGAAATCGGTTGCGCTAGATGAAAGGTTAAATTAACGGAGAAGGATAGAAAATAAGGGACAGAGGAGGATAAGCGGAGGGAGGGAAGGAGAGACAGAGAAAGAGAGAGAAACCGAGTATATGTCAAATAAAATACGCAGTTGCGTAAAGCAATAAGAACCAAAGTAAAAGTTTATTTCCGGGATTCCCGGGAGAGGATCATGATAAGCCGCGGGCGATGAATTCCGGTTGGTTATCCGAGCTTTAATAAATACCGCCAATCCCCGGCCATATGATGAAGCGCTAAATAAGCGCGCCGAGCAGCGAAATGGACATTTATTGCGATTCGCACGGGAAACGCAGCTTGGATACTTAGCGCTCTTCCTAAGCCGTCACTTTTACGCGCGCGCGCGCTAACTTCTTTTATAACGTAGGATATTGCGCGGTCGAGCGCTCGGAGCGAGTAACGAATAACTGTCAAGGGGTCGATAGTTGTGCGGCTTACCCTACATATCTCGACCGTCATGTTTTAATCAACCAATCAATAAATTCTCAAGCTAGTTCTCACGGCTTTAAAGTCGCGGAAGTCGCCCCGGAACACTACGAACTATCAACCGTACCGCTTGACACGTGTTGCACGTGTAGACCACCGTGAAACGACGCGGCTACGATTCTCGTGGGCCAAATTGACGAATAATAAGTCGTCCACTTTCGCACTGGCAAAAAAGTATTTGGTATTTGCGACTAGAATCGTAGTGAAAGAAATTGCGCCATGAGAATTATTCTTGTACACAAGGATAATGTAGTAAAAATTTTTTTAACAACATTTTTGTAATATTGGATTATACATAATTACGACCGAGAATGGTATTTGTTTAAAAATCCTAGACATGTTTTGCTTTTTACTACACTGAGAGAAAAGACTGGTAACGATAACAAACTGCATTTAGTTACAGCAATTCATTGAATCCTTAGTAACTAATACTAAATATGATAATAATTACCAAATATTTAATAGATCGGGAGTATGACGTAATTGCATTTACAGTAACATCAATTAAATAATTTAGTAATAGTTACTTAATGTTAAATATTTAATATAAAATATATTACAGTTATGAACAGATATTTGATAATTGTTATGAAATCGTTGTATCCCATATAATAAAAAATTAAGTAGGTACGAGTTCTATTTTGTTACCAGTATAAATATGTTTTGTTGCAGCACAACGAAAAATTCATTCATTTGCAGCTATCACATCGTTTCAATATCTATTATTACAGATAGTTGGTTGAACCTATCAAAAATTTTGTAACTATTACAAAATCGCTCAACTATTCAATAAGTTTTATTTATCAAATATACGACCAAATACCTCGTATTCTGGAAGCAAATAAATTTTACTTCTGTCAAATAAATAATTTATTTTACAGAACTAAATAATTAATAAGTATTGCCATAGCTTTGGCCCGCTATATTTACGTCTTTCATTTAGTAATAGTGACCAAATTTCGATAATATTTACTAAATTCTTCTCTCAGTGTATAAGATTATTATAATTACTTAAATGTTTTTTATATTCGGTCAATTTTTGTTAAATTTATTATTTCTATAGTAATTCATATATATTATATTTTTTATATAATTCTATATAATTCTATATATTTTCTATATAATTCAGTTTTGTATAGAATATTATAAGAAGAAATATAAATGACTTAATTTTTAATATAATATTTTTTCCGTGTAATAAGTATTATAATGATATTAATGATAATAATCTTATATGTATATTTTCAGTGCTTTTTTTGTTAGAATGACAAGACATAATTGATGATGAAAATAACCATTATTTTAATGAGATTAATCATTTTTGCTCTCAATATATATATATGTCGTCGCCTCTTATTTTTATTTTTGAAAGTAATTGTGTGCGCTCTGAGCAAAAAGAACTGTCCCAGACAACATAATGTCTAAAATTGGGACATAAGAAGTCTTAAAGATAATCTTTAAGATTCCTTAAAGACATCTATATGTAAATCGTCTGAAAGACATCTTAAAGATGATCTTTAAGACATCCTATGTTCTGATTATGTTGTCTGGGGTAACTATAATTAGATATTGAAACAATATAGTCTGGAAAACTTCTGCAGAAAATATTATTATAATGTTAGCGAGGTAATAACCAACAAATTTTTTCTAATTTGACATATTTGTACATAAAACAGAAATTTAAAAAAACTGTTGTAATAATACAATTAACTTTTAGACATATTTTAGCAATATACACATTACTTTCTTATTACAACAATGAAAAGAGCGCTATAGTTGGCGCTGGTAACGGTAATTTTAGCGATATTAGCCGTTTTTCTCAGTGTAACGAGAAAACTTGTTGATTATGCAAAAGATGTGAGTGTTTCGCGTGCACACGTAGAAATATTTCAACTCTGAAATTTTTCTCTAACTATCTAGAATCTCTGTTTGTTTCTCCCGTCTCTTTTATTATTCTCATGTACTGGACATGAGATTTCGCTCGCGCCTAAAAACGGAATACCGAGAAGATAATATTAAAATACTCGAGAGATAGATGTTCATAATTTAATATCGGAAAGGAAAAGAGAAAGGGAAGGCAGAGAAAGAGAAAGCTGTGTGGGAAAACTTCACGTTCCGTTTAAATTAAAATCAGTTACAATATCATGCAGATTGCGTCATATCTCACCTTTACTTTATGCTTCCAGTGCAGATAAACGTGCGCGTGACATTCCTATTTGTCGGATTTTAAGCGGCTAGCTCTGAAAGAATTATTCGTTTGTTATTTTTGTTAATTAATGATATTAAATCGAAATACACGGATTGGATTTCGTGTTTCATTTTCGCTTTATATTATATTTCGCTTATATTCATATTGCAGAATTCATATAGCAGTCGGTATGACAACGCAGGCAGAAAGAGAGAAAGAGAGAAAGAGAGATAAATGGAGAATGAATAAAAATTATGACAACCACATTAAAAACTTTAATTTACTCTCGCGAAGAAGCAGCTCTTTTAATTTACATTTGAGCGATTACGTGAGTTCTGTGTGTAATAATATCGGCGAGCAATTTTTCCGAGCTTTGTCGATCTTAGATGACTCTTTAAATCTATCGGTCGGATTTTAAGTTTCTCAAAAGCGTTACCGTTCTCGTGGAGTAAAGAGTACAGGCAGCTCGTACTTTATCTTGTTACTTGAACAACTTGCAACGCTTGACCATATATAAGATAAACATATAATATGTACATAGTACTAAAATTTATTGAGCTAACAATGAACGACAGAAACTTCAATAGTCTTTACTTTATACTGTTACCGATATATTTTATTTTATAGTTTATTGCATATAAAATAGGACTTCTATAATACAACGAATTTCATCTATAATTTTATATATTTAAATATAAGACAAAAGTTTAAAAAACTGTCATAATAAGATGAACATTTAAGCATATTTTAGTGAAGTATTACAACTTAGATTTTCTGATAGATAATTTTTAGGAATATTATATATTATATAGATAATTAAGAATTAATAAATAATTATATAGATATTATTAGAATATATAGATATTATATAGATAATTTAGAAATATTTAAGAATATGAAATTAATAATAAGTTGATGGAGATGTGGCAACATTGCATACACGATAAATTAGCATTAGATTTGAAATAACCTCATAATATCATTTGTATATTTTTTCTGTATTTATTATGCATCTTAATGTAACAAATATCTATATAAAAAATTAAATTAAATTAAATTATTTATCAAATGTAGTGTTTAGTACACTTCATGTTTATATTTCTTTTCTTACAATTGGCATTGACATCAAATAAACGTTTTACAACTTTTATATATTGTTACTTTAAAAATATTTGATAACTTTTAAAATAAAAATGATTACATGTTATGATATTTACGAATCTCATTAATTATATTTTTGTCATTTTGAACGATTTTATTATTAAAATATTAATTGATCAAAGAATATAGCGCTAGAATCTTTTGTGATGCTAAAGTAGATGATGAACTCCAAAAGTCGGTTACGTAGAAGCCATTATCAAAACGACATATCAGATAAACATTAACATCCTCACACTATCTTTTCTTTTCTTTGTACATATAGATTTTGCGTAAATGTGTGCTGCATTGTTTCACCATATTTAACAGAAAATCTAACCACACATATATGGAGATCTTTCTACAAACTTTTCGTATATTTTCAAGCTCTTACATTCAGTTGTACACTGAAAGAAAGATTTCGTAACAAATACTAAAATTTAATAATTGTCACTTAATTATGTGAGGCAAATAAGACATTAAAAATATGGTAATAATTAGGAAATAATTTAGTTATATAAAGTAAACATGTAGTTCTCAGAACCGAGATTTAGTTGCTTACTATATATTTAGGTCATTGAATTAGATTTTGAAGATTTAATACCAAATCTTGACAGTAAAAAATGAGATATTTGATAACTATTTTTAATGCTTGTGTTCTCGAGATGAAAGTTGTGTTTTAGATAATTTTTTATTTTATTCAAAAAATATCGTTTTATTTAAACTATCTCAAAGTCTCCGATATTGTATTTTTTACATCACCGACGCGCTTTCTTTTCACTTCATACGTGAAGTTCACATATGAAGTCCGTGGTTTCATTCGATCTCGTAGCGATCATTTCTCAGGCCGCTCACTCGACGCTTTACTTCATGATCGAACAGGAACTGGCGAGTTCTATAAGCTCTGACGATATCTTTGTATTTATAATATGTTCTCATAACTTTCAAGAAACGTGGTAGAGGAAACCGAGTCAAGTCGACTTATGTTGGCCACATGTTTGATTTATATATTTATTGTGAAAGTAAAAATGCAAAACGGATCGCAAAATGCGTTTTTAGGACATAAATATTTTTTCTATGTTCTAAAGAGAACATTTTGCTATCTCCTTGCCATTATTACTTTCACAATAAATACGTAAATAAAATGTAATACATAGCCAACATGACTCACTCTTGGGCTCGATCGGTCCTAATGCCATACTTACTAACAAACAACAGTCGATATATGACTAATATCGACAAATATCGATATAAATATAGTTAATAATCATTGTTTTAACAAGATTAATAGTTACCAAAATTTTGTAAAATGGAATTTAATGATTTTAAAAAATTTACTAAATATCTGATAATAATCATTAAATACTTAATAACAGATGTTAAATATTAGGTAACTATAATTAAAATCTTTAGCCTATTCGACTAAAAATTTTATTCAAAGTCACTTCATGTATGAACTTCACGTACGAAGTGGAAAGAAAGCGCATCTATGATGTAAAAAATATTGGAGATTTTGAGATGGTTTAAATAAAAAAAAAAATGGTGATAATTTTTGAATAAAATTTTATTAAAAACCTTTTTCGTACATCAAATCTATTATATATTTTATTATTATTATCATATTTGGTATTAATTAATTGCCAAATATTTACTTAAATTTTGTAACTGAATATATTTGATAAGAATTATAGTTTCAGTGTAAAAGTATAGCAATGTTTCTTAAATTTTCTGAGGTGGAGCAAATGCACGTTTCGCTGCAAATGCAGCAAAAACTGCAGAATTTTTGTATCAGACATGTATTTACGTTAAGCAGCTCGAGATGTCAATTTTGAAATTTTTTATCGTTTTCATCGTATGAGGTCCGTCCGGAAAGTCTTCGATCAATATATATCTGTACCTGAGTTTGCTTTTGTAGAAAAGGAGTATTCTTCATTTAGAGGGAACCTTTATGAATGTCTCTGTCAAAACGGCACGGCCTTGTAGCTCTTCAGTCGACAACGGTATGCAGTTGTGTAAATGTCCAAAACCGTGAATGTCGCATTTCTACTTTTTCTACAATCACCGAGCGCGTTGAGCAACGAATTTGTATAAAATTTTGCCAGAAACTTGGCCATTCGGAAACGATCAGTATGATTCGTTTGATCCTGAGACAAAAGCCCAATCTTCTCAGTGGATGACATCAGAAAAACAACAACTGAAGAAAGCGCGTTGAAATCAGAGCAATTCTTTTTCGACTACGTAGGTATTATTCATGAAAATGCTTCATGAAGTCAAACGGTGAACAAAGAGTAACTAACTACAAGTTCTGAAAAGATTACAAGATGCAGTGAGAAGGAAACAACTTCATTTATAAAAAAGCGCTTATTAGTTGCTTCACCACGATAACACATCTGTCCATTCATCCCACATTATCCAGAACTTTTTGACGAAACACGGCATATCCCAGGTTCGTTAGCCTCCGTGCAGTCTTGATACGTGAGACTTCTAGCTATTAACGAAATTAAAAAACCTTTTGAAAGGAAAGAGATTTGACGATGTGGAGGACATAGAACGGAATGCGACGAGGCAGCTGTTGGGCATTCCAAAAGCTGAGTTTCAGGATTGCTTCACAAAGTAGGAGCAGCGCTGGGGGAAGGCTATGGCTTCCAAAGTAGAGTACTTTGAAGGAGACATAATCACCATTGATTCAGAGTAGCTCTTTCTCTTCATATAGCGTAAGATCGGATATTTTCCGGACAGATCTCGTAGGAAGGTAGGATGAAAAGTTCCGGGCCTCACATATAGATAACTCTACTATGTTCAATATTTTAATAGTGTTGCATGATTTCATTCTTCATATGCTTATATTCGAAGATTCAAGTCAATAAATTGTTCAGTATTGGCTTGATGGCTCGCCAAAGTAAACGCCTCAAGCATTGTTTGTAAAAATGGAAAAAGTGGAAATTCGTGCCGTGTTTAAGCTAAAATCAATGAATTAAAGTTCGAATTGCTTGCCCACTCACCATACTCGTCAGATTTAGCCCCAAGCGACTTCTATCTCTTTCCCAATCTCTAAAAATAACTCGGTGGGAAAAATTTGTGAACGACAATGAAGTCAGCGATGCTGTAAATAGCTATTTTGAGGTCGATTTGTCAATAGCTTGACAAATCGACCTATCAGTCTGGTATAACCGCTTTAGAATATTGTTATATTCGGGAAAAGTATCACACTAAATGGAGATTATGTTGAGAAATAAATGAAAATCAATCCAAAAAAATTTGGTTTTCTTATTCAGGCGCGGAACTTTTCATTCTACCCTCGTATATTAGACAATGTCGCAATCCATTTTTGCACATACTTTCATTGTATATAAGCATTTGTAATTCCGCGCAATCAATACAACGTAAAATTTGTAGAAAAACGTCACTATTTTGTCGATAAAGTCTTCAAATATGACATCCCGTTAATTCTGAATTCATGAATTCTAACAGTGAGATTTAAAACGGCACATAAGGAGCAAGCACGGATGTCTTAGTGCTATTAAATACTAATATTACTTTTTAATATTAATATGATTGTGGGAGGATAAAATTGTCCAGTATGTTAAACGCACGTATCGAAATTTTTTCTTCGATTATCGTACGCGGAGAATCAACCTTCCATACTTAGACCGATCCTTGAGTCCCAATTTTTATATATATATTTTTTTATTAAAGTCCCAAACCCCATTAAAACCGATGATTCAAATAGATTCATTATATATGTTGCGAAAAAACTGCCTCCGCCAGGACTCGAACCTGGAACCTCCCCACTTTCCGGGCGGGACGCCTTTCCATTCGGCCACCGAGACTTCGACAGTAATCTCGCAATACAATGTTTATAAAGTCTCTAGATGTAAGTTGAGAGAGAAAGAACGAAAGAGTCGATCTCGTAAG